ATATATATATATATATATATATATATATATATATATATATATATATATATATAAAACCATGTGATGAAATGCCAACCATGGAAAAGAAGGCTGCAGAATAATATCAAGGAAAGAATAGCCAGATGCACATACCTAGAGCACTGGAAACTGCCAAACAAAGGCCCCAAGCCTTGGCCTGCCGCCTAAAGGGATAGACGAGAGACAAGGATGCCAGATGGGTAAACCGGCTGTTCGCAACTCAACCACTGTAAGTGTACGCTCAGTAGCAGGGACACAACAGTAGAACAACCTCACCAAGGCTGGAAACAGAACAGTACTGGAAAGACCTATGGGAGAAGGAGGCAGCACACAACAGGGAGGCACAGTGGCTGGTAGCTCTAAGAGAGGACCACAGCAACCTCCCTGAACAGAATCCAGTCAACATCACAGTGGCAGACATCCAAACTGGACAGCACCAGGCCCAGACGAGATACACACTTACTGGCTTTAGAAACTCCATAAAAGCTTGGCAGCACAAATTAACCAATTGCTGAGAAATGGGAACCAACCTGAATGGCTAACCGAAGGGCGCACAATCCTGATCCTGAGGGACCCCTCAAAGGGTACAGTCCCATCCAACTATTGACCCATTACCTGCCTCTCCACAACATGGAAGCTCATGTCCAGGATCATAGTGGCTAAGATAAACGGGCACATGGATCAATACATGAGCACAGCTCATAAGGGAATTGGCAAAAATACCAGAGATGCCAAACACCAACTCCTGGTAGATAGAACAGTCGCTGAAGACTGCAGAACCCAAAACACTAACCTAAGCACTGCCTGGATTGATTACAAAAAAGCATTGGACTCAATGCCACACACTTGGTTCATTGAATGCTTGGAGCTATACAACATAAACAGGACTCTAAGAACCTTCATTGCAAACTCAATGAAGTTGTGGAAAACCACCCTTGAGGCCAATGGCAAGATACTTGCACAAGTCTCCATCAAACATGGATATATATATATATATCAAGGAAACATGCTGTCCCCACTGCTGTTCTGCATAGGTCTGAACCCCCGCAGCCAAATAATAAACAAGACTGGCTACGGGTACCGACTTAGGAACGGGACCACCATCAGTCACCTCCTATACATGGATGAAATCAAGCTGTACGCTAAGAATGAGCAAGACCTTGACCCACTGGTCCATACCATCCGGATCTTCAGCACAGACATCGGGATGTCATTCGGACTAGAGAAGTGTGATCGGATGGTGACTAAGAGAGTGAAGGTAGTCCACACAGAGGGGGTCTCACTCCCAGGAGGAACAATAACAGACATTGAAGACAGCTACAAGTATCTTGGAATCCCGCAAACAAATGGCAACCTCGAAGAGGTAACAAGGAAAGTGGCTATGGACAAATACCTCCAATGAGTAAGGCAAGTGCTAAGGAGCCAGCTCAACTGCAACAATAAGTCTCGGCTAATAAATAGCTATGCTCTACCAGTAATCAGATACCCTGCAGGAATAAGAAGCTGGACAAAGGAAGAGGTACAGGCCATAGATGTTAAGACACGAAAGCTCCTAACCATGCACGGAGGGTACAAGCCCAAATTCAGTACCCTGAGACTGTACGCCAGCCACAAGAAAAGCGACCGAGGACTAATGAGCGTAAGAGCCACTATCCAGGATGAAATATCCAAGATCCATAAGTATATCGATGACAAGGCTCCAACAGACGACATCCTCAGTGAATGTCTCAGTCAATGGGGAACAGAAGATGAGGTGCCAGAGACTCCATCATGGGTGGATAAGCCTCAACACAGGATGTACCATCGAAACATAATCGAAGTTTGAAGGAAGCAAGAAAACGGGTATATATATATATATATATATATATATATATATATATATATATATATATATATATATATATATATATCTGATGAACGGCATCCAAGAAGGGGGCAGATCTAAAGAGGCTAACACAGGATGTACATCTTCACAATTAGGACTTGAACCACTCCACAGTCCCACCCTTTTGTCCCACCTACCGTACCTACTACCTACTAAACAAGTGATCAAAACCTAATGTGACTTAGAATATACTCCTTCTTCATTATATTCCAATGCTGCAATGTTGGCTGTTTATGTACAACAAAAAATTAATCCTAGCTTTACTTTGTATGTTTTAAAAAGGTGGAATATTATCTGATTAGGTGTTTTTCAAGAAAGCAATTCATATTTTTATGTGAAGAAAATTTTATTGTTCTTTGTAAAGGTCCATATGACATTAAACCTTTTGCTGAAATCCAAATTAAAACAGCAAAATTAATCACACATGAACCTTAGCTAGTAAAATTATGCTGTTTTATATGTTATTTTATTAAAGCATAGTTAATTTGTCTAGTTTCAAATCAGTTGGAAGGTATGGAAAAAATTACAATAGAGTAAATGTGCATATGCACCATAGATGCACATGCTTCCATGTGGGCTAATATGCTTGAGTGTGTTCCCAAAACCCGGTGCTCTTTCATCACATTGGAGAAAGAGAGATGATGACCCTATTAGTTTAAATTGCTTATCTTTTCACAAGAGAAAATGTATGTTTGTTATGTGTATTTTATGTAATCAAATTAAAGATGTTTGTGTTGTCTTTCTGTTAGACACTGACTAATTCAAAACAATTGTTGTTTTTGTACTCACATGCAATGCGTACATGTGCCTTGCGGCTTTTGGTGGTTCCGGCAGAGCTCCAGGCCACACACTGACACCAATAATCTTCTGGACCAAATAGCTCCTCCACTTGCTGCCGTGTTATTTCTATACTGGCTTCTCTTACAACTAGACCTGCAAAGGAACAAAAAAATAAATAAATAAAAAATGTCAATTAATTCACATCAATATCAGTTTAAACCAGAAAAATACTTTTTAAGCAGTTAAATATGTGAAACATTAACAGCTATAAGGCCAAAATCTAAACACTGAAATAAATACAATGTATGGAATACCAAAAAAGTTTAAAAAACAATTGGACTTTCCAAGTTTCAAGATGTTTTGCTTCCCTTCCAGGAAGATTTCAGCTTTCAAAAGCCTACGATGCAGCGATAAAGTTGATTCCGTCCCGCTATCATCGCAACCCCTAAACCCATACTGGGGAACAGAACACCTCTCCTGTTCATCCAGGACAACATTTACCTCTAACAACCCCCCTTTCAGAGACATAGACAGGTACTGGGTATTGCAAGCTAACAAAGAACCCAAACGACTGCCCCTTCCTAAGGGGCAGACTCATTCGTCCAGTCCAGTTTGCATGTTTTCTAAGGCAAAACAACGCTTTATTTTTGGTCCACTCTGTAAAGCCTCGACCTCAAAGCTATTTCTGACATTTGTGAGTTGAAAAAGCGTCCTGGATGGAAAGCGGAAAGTCTTCAAACTTGGAAACAAAGTCCAGTGGATTGTTTTTTTTTTACCTTTTTTGAATGACTATGACCTGGATGACTGGGAATTCATCACTAGCATGAATGGAATAGTATTTTCACCCTTTGAATCTTTTCCATATTCTGTTACTTCGCACCCTCAAACTTCAAAGTATTTTATTGTGATATTCTGTCACTGAGCAACACAATTAAATATAGAGGAAAAAGATATGGGGGTATATTTTGTTTACAAATTACAAATTCTTCCAAAAGAATGTGCAGAGTGCAGGAGTAATTAGAAAATTTACAAAGGAATCCCCTTCAAGCTGGACAACATCTCAAACACAGAGAGGGAGCCACAAAAGAATAAAAATCTGAATAATTGTTGACCTGATGACACATATACAGTGATGGGAGTAACGGTGTTTAAAGTAACAGCGTTACTAACGCCGCTACCTGTTTTTAGTAACGAGTAATTAAAATTATTACTCTTACTGTAACTATAACGCAGTTACAATTGCCGACACCCCGTTACTGCACATTACTCAGGTCGCACAATTAACCTTTTTTCATGATAGGACTCGTGCGCGCGTCATGAGAGAGGGGAGGATGGAGAGTGAGGAGGACTCCTGCGGCAAAACAGCGTTTTCCAGATGGAAATACCGGTGTTACGTCGAGCTGCGTTTCCCCATCAGATACGGTTTCCCCTGCATCTCTGCACAGCGCGGCGGCACGATTCATGGATGGATGGATGGATAGATAGATATAGCTACATGTTGCAGTATCTATAACATTCTTTCAGAATTACACATAATTTCATACACTCGCAAAAGTAACGCAATAGTTACTTTTACTAGTAACTAGTTACTTTTATTGTGGAGTAACTCAGTTACTAACACAGTTACTTTTTGGGAGAAGTAACTATAACTAATTACTTTTTCAAAGTAACGTGCCCAACACTGCACATATATAAGATCAACTTTCATTGATCTTAATCAATTTTGTAATGACGGAAGGGCAAAGCTTAGTCTCCAGTTGTAACTACAGTGGTCCTACAAATAAGCAACTACTGGTTATTCCACCACGTTTTAATCAGTGTTGTCAAAATAAAGGAAGAAGGGAGATAAGAACAATATTTTTTTTGTAAGATCTATCAAAAGCCAAGTGGAGTCCATGGAATATAGTACATAGAAATGTGTGGTAATGAGTAAAATGAAAACTTCACAAAGTATAGATAAATCTGTAGAGCCCTACATGAGTAGCAAGGTCTTTAATATTTGCTAATATTTCAAATTCCAGTTCTTTTTCATCCCCCCCCCCACTGAAATAATGCAGCTCTTTTTACATTTACGTTATCATATTTAGTTACTTTAACACAATTGTTTTATATCCTACCCTGCTGACATGAAAAAATTTTGTTAAAGTAAATATGATAACGTAAATGTAAAAACAGCTGCATTATTTTTTTCAGTACCCTATGAAAGCAACATGATGTATTTTTTTTTTACTTCTCGAACTTCAAAGCCTTAATTTTGATTTACTAATTAGAAAAATGTTGACATGTAAAAAAAAAATCAACGCATTCAATGCTTATATAGGCCTACAAATTGAATCAATAATATCATTTAACAAATAAAATAATTTATCTTTAGATTTGATTGAAGTTAACAGTAGGTCATGAGACCCTGTATGCTGTCAGTTGACTAATGGCAGAAGGGAAGGAGAATGATGTCCCAATAAATCCTAAAAACTAGCTGAAGATGTTAGAATTAGCATAATTAATTAAGAATAGTATTTATTTTTGTCTACAAAGAATATTTTCATCATTAGAGCAGCATTGGTAAAGAATTAAGGATTAAGTAATAGCATAATAGGGAATATTTCTGTAAAAGACCTCCTGCTATGAGGAGAAATGTGTGACCATAAGGGCTAATACTGTATAATGCAACAGAGAGATATTTTTTATGTAGGGCTGATGGTGGACTACAGGGTGCCTTTACTTGCCTTTGTTTTCATATATAGTGATGACCAAAGGTACTTTTGACAGAAATTAACCAAAAGAAAGCTCTACTTAAACATAGTATTACTCAAGTAAAAGTAGAAATTGTCACTAACAAAATTATTAAGAAACGATTTGGTAAAAAAAACTATTCAAACTGTCCTACAAATGTTGGATTAACATGCATAAAAATAAAATAATCAAGCAGTCAAACACAAAATAATGTGCAATTTTGGAATTTTTAACTCTTGAATGGCAAAAGGTTAAAAAAATACCATGACTAGATCATCAATTTAGGCGGAATTAATACTCCCTCCTCGCTTGAATGACCTAAATATTTGGATTAAAAACAATAAATAATTCAACAATTCAACATAAAAAGAGTTTTTAAATGAAAAAGTTTAATTATCTTTTTGATATATGGTTTTTGATTAAAATTAATTAACTGGATTAAAAACTTTAATCATGTGCCACCACTGGTTTTTCCCTTTAGCAATCCTAAAGAGGTATAAAAAGTTTACAAATGATACTACCACTTGTGGCCAAAACACAGAACTCCAAATCTCTTCTGCTCACTCTTGCGCTCATTCGCACTTGACAATTTTTTATTTATTTTTTACCTTACGTGGAGTTTCCATTGCTGTCTGAGTTTAGCTGGATGCCGCTCACTTCTACTGTAAGTATCCACAAAATCACCTTGAATATACCACTTTAATTGTTGCAGGGTAAGACCCATTCAAACATGGATGCGCTTAATGTCACATCAGCAGAAACAGTGCAGGAACTCGAAACCCAATGAACATTTGAAAAAATAGGCAACAGGTTTAAAGATAGATCACTTCTGATCTACTGAGGTGTCTACTCACCAAACAATGATTTAGTCATACAGGGTTTAATAAAAAAGCTATTTTATTTATATTTTTCCATAAAAGCATACAGCCACAAAAGACAAGGGAAGGTTTTAAGTAACCGAGGCCGACTGATATGAATATAAAGGGGTCATCAATAGAAAGGCACCGTTGGGAACGGGAGCATAAAAATCAGATTAAAAATGTGTAATAAAGAAAGGATGTGGAAAGAAGCTCCAATAAAACACTGTCTGTATAAAATAATGTAAATGTTGCAAAAAAAATAAATTACAGGAGAAATCAACGGGGCACTGATTAAGAAAAAGAAAGGGTAACTCAAAGAAATGAAAAGTAGGTGGTAAGTGGGAAAAGGAAAACAGATGGTGGTAGTAGTAATAGAGAGCAACAAGACATTGAGGCAGGGAAGGTGGGGCAGGAGTGAGGATAACAAACAAGATGGTACAAGAGCACAGGGAAATTCATAAAGAAACAAGAGAGGCAGAAAAGATACAAATTTTAAGTTCAAAGAATGTGGAGAGTAAAGTAGTCCAGAAAACAACATATTGGCAGTTTATTTCGGGTTCAGTGGTGTTACAAAGACCCCATAATATTTCATGAAACTAATTTAGGCCTGCTTATGGAGACTCAGTGAGTTCTTGCCAACTGAGAGATAGTTACTGTATAGCAAGCAAGCTGGTATAAAGGCAAAAGTACAGAGAAAGGAAAAGCTTAATCTCTTTAACAAGATTGTAGCAACTTTATTCCTTGAATCACTTGGATGAGAACTAAAACATTAAAGCTTTGGCAAAACAAGCTTTCAGTGAGGCTTGAGGAATGATGTAAAGATCTCATTTCTGATTTGGGAGAATAATGAAAAGACAGGACATATAGAGAGAAGATGGGAACCACAAAGCAAGTCCTTTGAACAAAGCGATTAGTAAACAGAGTAAAAAGCTTGTGGAAGGCACAACTAAGGAAAAGTGCAGATGAGAGAAAAACACAGTGAGGGCATAGAGCAAAGACAGCATAAAACTAGTGAACATCAGTGCTCCAAATAACAAGAAAACGAGGGAGACCGATATGGCTTCACAGGATAAGATGAAAGAGCAGAGGAGAACATAAAGAGAGGCAGAGGTTAAAAAAAAGTGGCCAGTAAAACAAGATAATTAAAACCAGCATGGAAACTGGGGCTACATCTAAGACAGCTAGCAGATTGGCAGCTGCAATGAGCAAAAACTACGGGGTACAGAGAGGATGGGCACAAGAGAGAGGGAAAAGAGACAGAGAAACGGGAGAATGATTTGCCAAAGTAATGAGGAAAGTAAGGCAATTAAAGTCAATGATTCAAATGAGCCAGCTAGTTAAGTCAAGCCAATTGAGTCAAGCAAATGTAAAGGTAGCACATGGGACACAACCCCTAGAAGTAAAGGATACAACATGTGGTAGAAAATAAGCCTCTTCCTAAATATAGAAGATCTGAAGCATTTGTGAGGCTATATAGGTGCCTCAGTTAGTTTCATACTAAAATAATGCTGGTGTGCAATATTTAGTGGTTAAAGTCTTTGCCTTCTATTCTTCAAATTT